GCTGGCAAAGTGGACAGTGGTCCTGAGTGATTAACTTTCCAGATGCCTACCTGTTCCAATACCAGTTCCTTCTTAGGGGCCTGGGTTTCGACCAGGGCCAGGTGGGCCAGGAAACTTTTCAGGTCTGCCAGGTTGGGCAACTGGTCAAGTAGTGTGTCTGTCAGGAAGGCCCGAAGCTGCAAGAATATCCAGGGAAAGCCAGTGTGAAATGGGTGCTGGCCAAAGGAGCAGGGAAAGTGGACTAAGGGTACCTGTGGGGCTTATGTCCCACCAGGTCACCTGAAGCTCAAATTATGAAAGGTGGACTAGGGTGGAAGAAGATGGGCAAAGGTGACCAGCAGGAATTCAGTAGGGGTGGGATGAAGTGGAGCAGTGCTGGGCTGTGGGGACTAGTCGAGGGGAGCTCCCCACCTTGAGTAGCTGTCCCTTAGCAAAGCTTGTGAGGCAGTAGCGGGCCCGGGCCTCGGGGCTTAGCAACAGGTTGTACAGGGCGATCCACACTTGCCCATCCAACTTGCTCAGCTTTTGCTGCTCTGGGGGGGTTACTGTCTGCCAATGACCACCCTCGAATCTTTGCAGCTTGCCTGGGGAGAAGACCCAGCACACTGGATGTAGCCATCTTTGATCAAGCCAGCTGTGTGTACTGTGGAATTTCCCACAGGCTGGGCAAGGTGGGAGGGCCACAGGACTTGCCCAGGTTGTGGTTTTGCTGGCCCCAGAGCAGGATGAATGCTCAGTAGTGGACTCATGAGCCTTGCCTGCTGCAAAGCCAAGGTCTCATCCCATCTTGGGTGAAGCATTCTGGTAAACTCTGCGGGCTGGGGGTCGGGTAGGGTTTGAACTACAGGTTTCCCACTTTAATCTGAAGGATGTTCTAGTAGCAATGGGCTGGGGCTTAGGTAGGTGTGAGGGGAAGATCTTACTTCCTTCCCGCCGGCTCCAGGGACTGTGCTCCAGTAGTTCCACCAGGAGGCAGGGTAGGTTGTGGGTGCTGAGCATGCGGCTCAGGATGCTCAGTGAAAGGCTAGGGGTGTGTGGGGGGGGTGGCAGGCAGGGAGGTGAGCAGAGGCTATAGGCACAGTATTCTGTCCCTCTACTGTAGGCCCCAGACTTGGGAGGACTGCCCACCTGTCCACACAATCTGTAATGTAGCGCAACACTGAGAGAGCCTTCAGTGAGATCTCAAATTCCATTAGTTCTGCCTGCTTCTGCAGCTCCTGGGGGCACACAGTGTTCAAGCTAGACCACCCCCTGCTGCACAGGCCTTGGGAAACCCACATCTAGGCTTTGCCAACCCCAGGAAACCTCAGTTCACCTGCACAGGGGTACCATCCTGGGGCCCTTCTTCCTCATGGGGGCCACCACGGCCAGTTCGGGCCACCAGCAGTGTCAGTTTGCGATGGCAATAATCCACCAGGTCCAAGATGGTGTCTTCTGCTGACTCACATACCTCCTGAGGGAAAGGAGGAGAGGAAACTTTCTGTCTCTGATGTCCTCCCCACATGGACACAATCAAATAATCCCTGCCCAGAGCAGTGGCCCTTGGGCAGGAATAGTGCCTCACCTTGTGGAAGAACACAGTCTCTAGGAGGTTGATAATGGAGGCTTCATGGTGTACCTATCAAAAAAAGGGGAGGACAGGGCCTGGGCTGCAAGACAGGCATAGGGACTACCTAGGCATTCTGTCTTCCCTGGGCCATGGCTCTCTGCTCTGAAAGGGATGAGGTGTGCGCCAGGGACCTAACTCACCACCATGTATACGGGGAAAGTGTTCTGGGGCTTGAAGTCCTCCACTTTGCATAGCACAGGGAATACCTTCTGCTTCCACATCTCCACTGCAATTAGCTCTTCCACCAGTGTCGGGATCTTTGAAGCATGGGGAAAGGACAGGAATCAGGTGGACCTTCTTTGCCTGGCAACCCTCCCATCCCTGGCTCTGTTAGCTCATCTCTCAAACTTCCCCAGGTCTCTGGACTCTCCCAGGCCCTACAAGTACCCTTTCTGACTTTTCTCCTGCATCTTAGACCTTTATTTCCAGATGTTCCAACATCTATGGGGACACTCCCCTGCTACCTGTGACTAGCCCTTGCTCTGTCCCAACTGCCTTGCCTCTCTGCATCTGCACTCTTATCCCCTCCTCCCTATCTCTTTTAGGCTAGCCCTCCTGCTCATGCCCTCCCTTCTTGTCCTTGTCCTCTGACCCTCCAAGGCTCTTGTGTGCCTAAGTCTCATTCTTACTCAAGGCCCTTTACAGTGCCCTATTTCTGCCCCATCCCCTAGTAGTGTGCTCTGCCTTTTTCTTGTGGAGAAATCTTTTGTCAAGTGATATCTCAGGTCATCTCCCTGTTTTCTAACTCCCCAACCCTCATGTTGGAAAGGCTGTTTCCTTTCAAGTCAAGGCACCACTCCCACTTCAGGAGTCTCCCCCCTACAGCCTAAGCTGTTTTAGTGTCCATGACTTTCCCCCTAATCAATCCATGTCCTAACACAGGTCTGGCATGCCTGGGTCTTGTCTAATTGGGGGACAAAAGGAAATGCAACACATTCCTCTTTCCCCTTCAGGGAGAACAGTTATACCAGGCCAGAGGGAAGAGCAGGCATCCATGTGTTCCCAAGGGGTGTAGTGGGTGTTGTGGGAGGGAAGGCAGGAATACTGTCTGTGACCTCGGGGTACCTTCCCATGGGTGACTAGCAGCTCCTGGATGGGCTCGCCTTGGCTGACAGTAGCATCAAGGATGGCTTGCATGTTCAGCTTCTCCAGGTTCTCATGCTGCTGGTTCCACCTGTTACAGAGGGTATGTATGTAGTATTTGGGCACACATGTGTGCATCAGAAGTGTGGCTAGATCCTATTGAAGCCAAATCTGATCCTGAGGATCCAGAAGGGGCTTAGGAGCCATATACTCCTATCTTGAAGAGCTTTGCCTCTCCACCTGGGGGCCCCCTCACATTGAGCAACCCCTTCCCCAATGTCAGTCCCAAGCTCCCCCCATTCAAGGACCTGGTAACTCTGTCTGACCCAGCTGCCTCACCCTTCAGAGCCCATCTCGCGCAGGGGGAAACTGCGCAGACCCCGCACCAGTACGTCAGCTTCCCCTGGCAGCAGCAATTCCAGGTCCATGTTGGGGCCAGAGTCTGGCTGACTTCGGGTAGCAGTTGGGGCGGAGGAGATGATACACTTTAGGAGGACAGACTTCAGCAGGACTGGACTCTGGGACCGGACAGTTGCCTGTCGGTTGGAGCGCGTGCGTCCTCGCCGCCATGGAAACAGCTTGGCGTCTGCGCAGTGAAGCCTAGGTCCACCTATGCCGGTGGCTCTTGCAGTCTGGAACCACCCCGCCCCCCCCCCCCCCCCGCTTGCCACGCCTACTCCGCTGCCAATAGTAACCCTACTGCGACTGTCATAAAGTTTTCTTCCTCACAACCAGGTGCTCCCGCGAAGTCTCTCCTGAACTCCACCAACTCTTTCCCTAATTGTCAAGTCAGCCAGTGACCCCGCCAGCTCCTCCTGCAGCTGGACTGTCTTGATCCTCTCGGATGTTCCTCTTCAAGGCTTCCTCCTTATTTCTTGTACCCAGCATCACCAGTTGGATCTACTCCCTAAGTATTGCCCAGGATCCACAACGTCGTTCCATTCTACTTCAGACTGCTATTACTTTAATGGGGGTAGCTGCATCAGCCTTTTCACTAGATCTACTTCCACTCTGGACCCTTCCCAGCAGCCAGGATTCTTAAAGGTGTACATCAGACATTACTCCTTTGCAGGAGGGCGGTTCTTTGATTATCTCTGACCCTCAAAATACTGGATTAGGGGCTGGGTTGTAGCTCAGTGGTAGTGTGCTTGCCTAGCATGTGTGAGGCACTGGGTTCAATCCTCAGCACCACATAAATATAAATAAAGGTATTGTGTCCATCTACCATTAAAAGTATATATATTTAAAAAATACTGCCGGTGTATTCCAGGGGCTCGGGAGACTGAAGCAGGAGGATCACAAGTTCAAAGCCAGCCTCAGCAAAAGTGAGGGGCTAAAAGCAACTCAGTAAGACCCTGTCTCTAAATAATATACAAAATAGGGCTGGGGATGTGGCTCAGTGGCCCACAGCCCAAGTTCAATCCTGGGTAACCACCCCCGCCGCCCTCCCCGCAAGAAAATACTGGGTCAGACGTGGCTTCCCAGAGTTTTGCAGGTTCTACTTCTTGCCTTTCTCCTACCTCAGGATTTAGACGTGGGGGAGGGGGGGCGGAGCGCTGTGAGGGTACTGGGGATTGAACCCAGGCCTAGCACATGAAAGTTCTACCACTGAGCTGCATTCCCCATCCCTTTCTATTTTAGAGACAGGATCTTGCTAAATTGTCCAGGCTGGCCTCAAACTCGCAATCCTCCTGCCTTGGCCTCTTGAGTAGCTGGGAGTAGAGGCATATGTCATCATGCCTGGAAGTCTTTGGCTTGTATTTTTGGCTCTCTTTGGTCTCCCATGATCCAGTCCCATGGGCTTGCCTTGGGTTCCTCATACATGCTTCAGGGTTTTGCATTTGTTTCTTCTATTGGAATACTTTTCCTAGTTCAAGGCTCAGTTTAAATCACTTCACCTAGGTCTGTTTTGCTTATCTAATCCAGAGCAATCCCTGCTTCCCTCGGAACTCAAACTGTTCATCACCTCTGTTTCTTGCTGCTTCAGTTTACAACAGCATGTTCACTTGGCCATTGCTGGCCATGCCCATCAGATGGCGCTCCAGAGCACCCGGACCTTGACTGGCTCATTTAAGGCTAGGTTGTCCACAGCGGAGGCAGCACTCAGTAAAAGGTTGAGGCAGCTGGGGTGCCTATAATACCTGTAATCCTAGCTACTCCACAGGCTGAGGAAGGATGGTTAAAAGTTCAAGGCCAGCTTGGGCAACTTAGAGAGATTCTGACTGAAAATAAAAGGCTGGGGATGTGATAAGAGTGCCCTTGAGTTCAATCCCCATACCGCAAAAATAAATAAATGAATAAAGGCAGGTTGAAGTCATTGATTTTATTTACAGAACTAAGAGTCAACCTACAGAGGATATGAACTAGCCTACTTGTCTAGTCCCCATGTGGGTTTAGCAGGAGGGAGTAGCCACAGCAATATAATCATTCAGGAAAGCTTCACTTCCAGCAGATGATGATGTTGGGGTCATTCTCCAGACGCTCATCCAGCTCATGGTAACTCATGCCTGGGTGGGGTGGGGGAGGTGAGGTCAGTGATCTTGGCCTACCCACAGTGCCCTGACCTCACCCTGTCTGCCCCACTGCATGCCTCCACCTGTCTTGCAGCAGATCTCATCATAGCTGTGACAGCCTGTGTAAAGCCGGGCAGGGTGGCTTCGCTCCTCTCGAGACACCCGCACAGGATATTTCTGTAGTCGTCGGATGAGATTCTTCATTAGCCCAAACTGGATCAGTTTCCTGGGGTGAGGATTGGGGAAGAAGTATGATGCTCTGGTCAGTCCTCCTTATAGCCAGACCAACTCTTTCCTGCAGCCTTCTGTTCAATTCTATCTCAGAGCCAGACTGCCCTGCAAGCTCATCATCCCCAGGAATCCTCCCTGGTTTAGCAGTGCCACGATTCTTCTCACTGGGAATACCCTGCTTCTTCTGACCCAGGGTTCCTCCAGAGAGACAAAGAGGGTCCACCTTCCCTCAGGCAACCCCCTCATTTCCCAAGGAATGGCCCTCTGACCGTTCATCAACATGCTGTAGCTGCTGGGGGTGGCGGCCGATGAGGTCTCGTACAGTAGTACCAGGGCTCAGGCTGCAGTACAGTTGGAACACATCCCGGAGACTGGCTCTTTTGTGCCCTGTGGGTGCCAGGATCAGCTCACCAAGTGACCCTCCCCTTCCCAAGATATCTCCCCAGAGCCCACTACTACCTTGCTTGGTCACGTAGGATAGACATGCCTCCTGTAGGGACTTGTCATCTACAAGATCCTGGACCTTGGGTGTTGGACAGTACACGTTGGAGTACTAGAGAATAGCAGAAGGCACAGGGACCTGAGTGAGGGGCTGGGAGGCTGGGCCAGACATTGCTGAACCATATCCCAAATTTACCTACCTGGAGAATGGACACCAGTGTCACAACACCATAGTACCTAAGAGAGAGAGCTGAGCTCAGCTTCTGAAGACTAGACCTTTCCAGCTCCATACTCAGGGACCTAGATTCTTCCCTGGCTGGTGACCTTATGCTAGGCATGACTATTGCCCTACTCACAGTAGGTTCTGTATGGCAATGCGCACTAGGTTGAGCTCCACATCTGCCTCAGCAGAGATCTTCTGGACATGGCGGAAACCATCGATGTATGGCAGGATCTGGCAGAGCAGGGCAAGGTCAGTGGGGTTAGGATGAGGCCAGTGCTGTGGCCAAGACAAGGTGATGCTACTCAGGGACAACTGGCACACCTGTTGGGTGGTGAGGTCCCACTGTGAGTTGAAGAAATCCTCCTTGTCCTTGGTAAAGACAGGTACATCATACTCTTGGGCCACAGGAGGGTCTGGCCGCTGTTCAATCACCTTCAAGTGGATGGTGTTGGATTCATCTGCAGGGGACCCCACCCATATTCTCAGTGCCATCTCTCCTGAGAGGCCCTCAATTACCATCCAGCCTTTCCAGTATCCCTTGAGGCAGGCAGGTGGCTCTGGGGAGGGTCATTCTTCCCCTTTTATGGAGTGAGAAACTGAGGTCCAAAGGGGAAGGAATATACACAAGGAGCAGAGCTGGATAGCTCTGCTGGCTGCCCCCCATGCCCAGCCCCATCATGTACTGTACCCAGGACATCACCTCAGCCTCTGGCTATTTCCTGGCCACCAGTTTATTCAAAAGTCTTGTCCTTTTCCCCCCAAAGGCTGTGCTCACCTTCTGCCACTTTCCCATACCTCCCCTTCTGTTGTTCTTGCAGAGGCTGGGTCATACCAATGGGTAGAGTGCACCGGCCAGAAGCATTCAGCTCCTCCAGTAAGATGGTCATTATGGGCACCAACTTCTGCTTGCTCTCCTCTGTGGACACGAAACTGCTCTCTAGCTGGACAGAGCATAGACAGCATAGTGGGTATACCCCAGGGCACCTGACTAACTAGATGCCCTGCCTGGGTCCTGAGCTAGCTGTCAGGATCAAGAAGACTTTGGAGACATAGGAACACTTTTCCCAACTTTGCCTGCCCATACACCCAAGCCTATCATGTTGCAGACCTCCAATGTGGTCAGGTAGCCAGCCAGCTTTTTAACAATGGGCTCCAGGGCACAGGTCTTGGCCTGGGCATCACACACGAACCCCAGGTTGAAGAGGAGAGCATTGCGGCTATACTTCTTGTGCTCAATGCACACAGGGCAGCCGATCAGCTTCTTTTCCATGGCTGTGCTGGATGAATGGAACAGAGTTAGGCCTCCCCAAGTCTGTTCCCTCCTCTTGGGACCTGTTCATCCCACACCCAGCCAGGGCCTCACACAGTGATGAGCTTGTTTTGTAGCTCTGGCTTGGTGATGATGTACACTTGGACGGTGTCAAACAGCTCCCTGGAGATGAAGTCTTCAGGGACCTGGGGAAGGAAGTGGCAAGAAGCCCCTGACTAGACATTGGGACTGGGTGGAGTGCACAGGGTGCATTCATAGGTGCACCCCCCATTACCACCTTCAGGTATAAGTACTTTTCTCTAGCATTTTCCTCTCTCTCATTCACCCAGGCCTAACACTCCTTGGTGTTTTCAAACACATACTGTGTTCTCACAGGCTTCTTGGCTTTTGCATTTGTTGCTCCCTATACTTGGAACACTTTCCTCCATCATCTAATTTGCTATGCATCATTTAAGTTCCAATCCAGGAATTCTCTCAGACCACTCACCCCCACCTTCCATGGGACCTGACACCTCCCCTGAACCTTACAATTGGATTTCCCCAAAGCACGGCTCATGTGACATAGTATGTTTCCTTCATCACAACAGGAGCCGGGGGACCTGGGTCTGTTATCCTTTCTATTCATGGTTATCCGGGAATGGATAGAGATACCCTCGTGCAGCAAGGGGATTCAGTGCTATGTCAGTCGGCTGAGCTCCCGAGAGTGTCCCTCTCCCCGCCTAGTCTCGCGAGCCCGGGCAGCACCTGATAGGTGATCTTTGGTCCCAGCGTGGGGTGGAACTCGCTGAAGAATATGCATTCGATGCGGCAGCTGCTGCCCATGGCGCTAGCGAGTCCTGTGTCCGTAGCTCCTTGTCGTTCGCGCGGAGACACCCCTATTCTTGGGAACACTGGTCAGAAAACAGCCCTGAGGCCTGGGCCACTGTGTCATGCAGTCGTGAGCGCGCGCCACACACACACACACACACACACACACACACACACACACACACACACTCGAGAGACTGTCTGCTCAGTAGAGTCTGCGTAGCGAGATTCAGAGGCGGGGCTTGGGGGTGCTCTTCCCAGGAAGTCCCGGGTGGGTAGATGTCGCACCCGGAAGTGAAGCGGCTCCGCGACGGAGCGGCGGCGTGCGCGGTAGGGTCCTGGTTATCCAGCATTTTTTTGGAGGAAACCACCACGTCTGATCGGCGCTGCAAGTGAGGTAGGCAGATTCCTAGCATGAAGGGACAGCGTGCTAGCGGCACTTGGTGGGGAGCACTGCACGAAGGGATTCAGGCTGTAAGTGGGACACATCTGGGAACTACAATTCCCGCAGTGCTTCACGCGCTCCCACCTGGCGTTCCCACCAGTGACAGGGTGATGCATGCTGGAATTTGTAGTCTTATGTGGCCTTGCGTATCCTACCTGAAAAGTGGGCTAGAGATCAATACCAATTTAGATGCAGGTAGATCCTGACGGGGCTGCCAGTCCTCTCCTGGCCAGTTGTGACTATTTCCGGTACTGGTCTTGGTCTGTTTTTTCCTACCATAACTTCTTGGAAGAGGGTGGCATTCTTGCCCTGCAACTCTTCTTCCAGCGAGAGGTGTGGAACTGTCCTACTGGGGCACCCGACCCTTGCCAATGCTACTTTGTTTTCAGGCTACAGCTACCTGCCTAACTGACCATGGCCCTTTCTGTGGAGACCGAGTCGCACATCTACCGAGCTCTGCGCACTGCTTCTGGGGCTGCAGCCCACCTTGTGGCCCTGGGCTTTACCATCTTTGTGGCTGTGCTCGCCAGGCCTGGTTCCAGTAAGTAGAATTCATAGTTGACTTCTGGGAAAGGAAAGGCAACTTTTCCTGGGGGAGCAAGGGCAGTAGGAAGCCTTGGGCCTAACTCTTGGGAACAGGGATGGCTGGCTGAGGAATATTTTGTGTAGAAGGGATGATACTCTGGATGAAACATGGGTGGGGGCTCTGACAGCTTGGCCAAGCCCCATAGAGCCCATGGTTATCCTTTTCTTGTCTTGGTGCACCTCTTGGGAGGTGCTGGGGGAAGGAGAGAGAGGAGTGGCAAGCATGCATGGCCTGTGGTCTAGGAAGAGAGAACAGGTGTGGAATCAGCTTGCTGCAGCTAGCGGGGCGCGGCTCACATTTTGGCAGCACCTTCTTAGGTGATGGGCTGCCCTTATTCCTCAACCTGTAGGGATTGGTATTGCTGGTTTCTTCTTGCCTCAGCCCCATGAGGACTCCTCTTCTCATTCCAGGCCTGTTTTCCTGGCACCCTGTGCTTATGTCTCTGGCTGTAAGTAGTGGATATGGGCAGCTCTCATGGGTGGGAGCATGGGTATGGGTGGTGACCCTGATAGCCTTTGACTCCTTGTGGACATTTAGTGTCTATTTGGAGGAGTTGCATGCTTCAACTCTTGTCCGGATATGTTCCTGACTTGAATCATTGTATTTGAGACCCAGTATAGCTGGGTGTGGTGGTGTATACCTGTAATCCTAGCTGCTGGGGAGGCTGAGACAAGAGGATTGCAAGTTCAAGGCCAATCTTGGCAACTGAGACAAACCCTATCTCAAAACAAAAAAATAAGTTAAAAGTGCTTGACATAGTTCTCCAGGGTTCAATCCCCAGTACCACATATACATCAAAAACAAACAAACAAAAAACCTAGGATAAATGGGAAGGTTTAAACACAAATGAGACTTCTCCCATCTCCAGGCAGGAAGCTGAGAAATTGCATTTGGATGACCCTTTTTACCTTAAGTTTGTGGTGATATGTGTCTTATTTTCCCTGAAACAGTGCACCCATGTGGTCAGCTCTTGCCAAGAAATTGTATCCATACATCCCCATGGGAGAGAAACAAAGGTTTTGAATCATTTATAAGTGCTACATCTCAGACCTTGTTTGCTAGGTAACAACAGAGATGACATTTCAGAATAGCATCTAGGAAGATGTGTGAAGAGGTATCTGTCACTGACTATTTAAGGAAGATGTTCTGCCCCACTAAATGGGTAGTTTTGCTGAGGAGAAAATTAAGAAGGGGAATCAGCTCAGGTGCACTGACAACTAAGAGGATCATCTAAAGCCCTCTTATTTTTTTTTTTTTTGCTGGGACAGCACCCTCACTTGAGTTTCCTTCTCCGTCTCCTCAGTTCTCCTTCCTGATGACCGAGGCACTATTGGTGTTCTCTCCTGAGAGTTCGTTGCTGCGCTTCCTGTCACGGAAGGGCCGGGCACGCTGCCACTGGGTGCTGCAGCTGCTGGCTCTACTGTGTGCACTGCTGGGCCTTGGTCTTGTCATCCTCCACAAAGAGCAGCTTGGCAAAGCCCACTTGGCTACACGGCACGGACAGGCAGGACTGCTAGCCGTGCTATGGGCAGGGCTGCAGTGCTCAGGTGGGGTGGGGCTGCTTTACCCCAAGCTGCTGCCCCGATGGCCCCTGGCAAAGCTCAAGCTATACCATGCCACTTCTGGGCTGGTGGGCTACCTGCTGGGTAGTACCAGCCTCTTGTTGGGCATGTGCTCACTCTGGTTCACTGCCACTGTCACTGGTGGAGCCTGGTACCTGGCTGTGCTATGCCCTGTCCTTACCAGCTTGGTCATTATGAATCAGGTGAGCAATGCCTACCTATATCGCAAGAGGATCCAACCATGAACTCTTCCTAGCCAAGGGAAGCCTGGATTTGCCTCTCAGCATTCTGGGGCTGGGGACCTCCTGAACTCTTTTAGCTGATTGGGTCAGGGGATACTTCAGGCACTGGAGCAGTAGGAGACCCATATGTGACATTTTTGCTCTTCGTGCTAGAGTGCCTCCTCTGTCCTTCTCCTTTTGCTGCATCCCAGAGGAGCATATGGATCACGTGTCTGGATGAAGCTGGGATTTCAAGACTGCCTGCACAACAATGCAGCTTATAATTGTACTGGTTTAATTATTGGAGAGAAAAAAGTGAAATAAAAATGACTGAAAAGACTGATGGGAGGAGCAGCTTAGAGTTGGAGGTGGTTCTAACTAATGCTGTCAGCATTAAGAAGTAGGCAGCTTAGCAAGGTGGGGGCCCTCTCTGAATGGTAGTTCTCCTAGCACACAAGTCCCTAGGATATGGCTGTTGAGCCTCCCATGTTGTGAATGGTACAGTTACGTATCCTACCCATCTCCCAGCTTCTGACTCTTGGAACATCCACACTATGGGGGCTAGATACAGACTGACAGGATGGGAGCTGGGAATGGGCTATCTCCATAGGTGTCAAGAGCAGAATACTCTGTCTTTGTGGTGAGTCATGGGCAAGAACAACTCATGATGGAGAGAACCTCAACTGTCAGATCCTCTGGGTAGGGGCAGAGGGCCTCCTAAATGGGGACTAGAGAGAGGAAAAAGAATAAGGCTCTGAGGCAATGGCTCTGGGAAGGCCACTTGGCAGAGGCATATAGTGGTGGAAGGAAGGTATACTGGGGCAGTGGGCTTTTTATCCAGCTGGAGTTGCCATGGAGAGCCCTTGGATCCAGAGTAAAGACTATCTAAGTTGAGCATGTGAGACTGTACAAGGTAGCTTGACAAAGTGCAGGAGTCATACCTCAAAGAACTGCTTTATTGATACTGTGAGGCTGGGCTTGGTTGCCCACTCAAGTGGTCCTGTAGAAAATACCTGGGAGCTGTGGCTGTTCTGGCCCAGAAGCAGTCACGGCCACAGCAGAGGGAAACAAGAAATCCTGACATGAACACAGTCTTCCTGGGGGTGGGCAGGGATGTACAGCCTTGTGTTGGCTCCTGCACTGGCTGGGCCCCCAGAACATTTTTGGCAAATGCAAATCCTTGCCTTGACAGGGCTCAGGGCTCTTGGCAACCAGTTTCAGATGTGAGGGCCAGCCCAGGAGCTGTGGCACCAGCGTTCCTGTAGTCATTTGGGGCTGAGGTATAGTCTCACCTCAGATGGAGTTCTGGATTGGCCGATGCCTCAGAGGTCCCATGCCCAGGATAGTGGTTATCTGGAGTCAGAACCAGGTAGCAAGGGTCCTGGGTAGTGTTGGTGAGAGACAGCAAGTGGCCATGGAAGGCTCCAGCAGGCCTTCTTCCCTCTTAGAGCAGTCAGTGCCCTGGGGTAGCTGAGAGGCATCATTGAGGGCTTGGGAGAGGAGGGGCTACACTCAAGGTGGTCTGGAGTTTACAGTTTGGGGGGAGCTGCCTCGAAGGTGATAAGGCTGGATTCAGGAGTAGCCCCCTTTCCTGGGGATGTGGGAGCCTTTTCTGAGAGCAGGGGGCTGTCCACTTTGGCCCCAGATTCTTCTTCATCATCATCCATGCTGGGCCAGGTGGACTGGTCCTCCACTCTCTTCAGCCGCTCATTGAGGGCCTTCAGAGCCAGTTGCCTGGGGCCAGAGGAGAGAGGACAGGTCACTCTGGGTTTCTCTTGGCACATATCCTGCACCCTTCCTCTGTAATCTGCCCTCTCTCCCTACCACATAGATTCCTCCCCCAGAATCCATTCTCCATGCAGCACCCAGAACTCCCCTGAGACTGAATTTCAGCCCATGCTGCCATCAGAATGAGGACCGGAAGGCTCTGGAGTCTTTCCTTCTAGCTCTAGGGCGCCTCCAGGATGAGAAGGCCAGTTGGATGTCTGCCAGACTGACCACCAGGCTATCCATGGCCAGCCACCAGGAATAGTTCTGAATTTGATGCATGAGAGTGGGCAGATCTAACAATCCAGGGCAGATGGGTGGAATGGCAAGTCCCTGGAGATGGGTACCTGCTTGGGCACTTACACACATCCAAGGACAGGTTCATTAATTCTCCTTTTCCTGGATAGGGGTATCTGAAGCCTCCTGGCAAGGGTCTCTGGGAAAGACTAGAATTCAGTACCTCCCTTAGCTCAGCCCAGGAAGCAGAGTCAACTTGGATCAGTACACCCCTCTTAACTCTGATGTTTTCATTTCTAGAGAATCCCCCAAACCACTAAGACCTGTGTTAGAATAGGCTTTTAGCAGAGTCCTTGCAAGAGGTGAAGAAGAGAAAAGCCCATGTGGGTAGGGCACAGGCCAGAGCCTGTTTTCATGGGGCAGATCCTTGGAGGCACCACTTTGGGGGAGATGGGAAAGTCTACTAGAAGGTATTCACATGAGCCCTAGGCCACCAGAGGGTAGAGTAACAATGCTGCCAGGCAACACATCCAACAATGGCCACTGCCCACTCCTGATGCTTCAGCTTCTCTGTGCCACCAATGTCTGTGTAACCTATCAAGTTCCTGCAGAGAACCAAAACCTGCACCATGCCAAGGATAAGGAGAAGCAACAAGGACATGAGCACAGAAAACCCAGTATACTTCCCCCCCTGCCCTCCAACCTGGCACATGGCAAATTTGCATTGATGGGACAGTTCTTCAATGATACTGCCAAGGCTCCCTTCTCAGAGATGGCCTTGTCAGTTCTGTCTAAAGTCGGCCAAGGCCCAGAGATAGTGTCATGCTAGTCACTTCTTCACAAGGGTCAAAGATGTCTCTTTGATGGGGGCTGGGGTTGTAGCTCAGGCAAGCATTTGCATGTGTGAGGCACTGGGTTGGATTCTCAGCACTGCATATAAATAAGTAAATAAATAGGTCCATCAACAACTAAAAAGGAAAAAAAAAAAAAAAAAGATGGGAAACCCTGCCTTCTACCTAGTAGCCCTTTGGGTCTGAGTGTGGCTTGCAGTCAGATAACAAACTGGTTGGAAGAATAACCCCCACCTATACTACTTAAGGCTATACCAAGAACTTACCTCTTGCCCTATCTTCACCCACTCTCTGGTCCATTTCCTTGGGCAGATTTTTTTTTTTTTTTTCCTTGAGACAGGGTCTCACTAAGTTGCTAAGGCTGGCCTTGAACTTGTGATCCTTCTGCCTCAGCCTCCTGAGTCATTGGGATTACAAGTATGTATCACCACACCTGGCTTGGGCAGGTTTTCTGAACATCCAGCCAACCCTAACCATCTAAGACCTCTCACTGAAGGAGAGGTCCCACCTGAATAGCTGAGGGTAGCTTAGTTCCTCCCAGGTCCAGCCCACCTGGCCTTGTCTCCTTCACTGGATAAGGTCAAGACACACCTCTAACTTATCACCCACAGACTAGACTGTAGGGCCTTGAATGAGGCCCTCACAGCATGCTGTAAGTGTTTTCCCACAAATATCAGCTTGGACCACCAGCTGGAAACTCCTTCAAGGAAGGGGTGTGTTTTACACTCAAGTGTACTGCCCCAGTGGACAGTAAGCTCAAGGATAAATAACTCTTCCACTGAATTCACAGAGCTTCCTGCCAGGAATCTATTTCATAGATGAGCAAAAGCAGGAACCTTTGACAAAAGCAAAAGGATAGCCCTGTTATCCGATTACCTTAAAAAAAAAAAAAAAAAAAAACCCAAGCAAACACCCCCCCCCCCCAAAAAAAAAACCCAAGAATAATGTTGTAAATGGAGCTGGGGATCTTATAGAAGCTGGGACCACTCTGGGGAGCCCACAGATCCAGGAGAGTTAAGAGCTGAATTAAAAACAGTCTCTCTTGTCCTGGCCAAAGTGCAGCCAGTGAATAATTCAGCCAGGATGCCTAATGCGGCAGATGGCTTAGTTTACAGATAATTCAAAGGTCTCCACTATCTGGTGTGGTACACAGGCCTCTAAGGTGGGTCATATAGCGAGTCCCCTGGGTTTGGTGACACCTCCCTGCTTGGAAGTTAAATTTGGTAAGACCCTAAGCTTCCCTCAGTAAGTGGCAGAGAAGCATGTATCTGAATTAAGACTCATGAAGAGGACATGGTTCAGTATTTGGAAATTGGGGTAACCAGACTATTTCTTAAGGGCCCCAGGCCTTCTTCCCTGGTCCCCACTCCCCCACCCCCCCCAGGGGAAAAAAGACTAACAGGTTGTCTCCGGCTCCCAAGTACCAGTGTCTAGGATTTAGAGACTCTGCAAGGCCAGGGTGATGCATACCTCCATTAGCCCCTCACACAGAACCAAAAGAAATGGTATTTCTTGAGACTGAAATGGCCCTAGTGGTAAGAAAAAGCACACACCGGAGCCCAGACATCTACATGCTGAATTCTCAAGGCCAGACTGGGTTTCCTCTCTGAACCTGCCCCAACACCTGACTGTGGGTCTCTTATGCACAGCAAGCACCTCAACAGGTGGCATGTGACTTTGACCAGTACTCTCTTAGCTTGCCAAGATTTTGGAAGGTTTCACGGTACCTTCTCCGCTCTGCATCTTGAGGGTCTGTGCCTGGGAGGCTGATGGTGATGGATGATGGGGCTCCCACATCATAGCGTTTCACTGTCTTCTGGCATATCTTTACTTTCACCAGGAGACCATGCACCAAGTTCGCCAGCAGCCCCACCACAGGCTGCAGGATCTCAGGGAAGAAGGTGGCAAAAGCAAAGTGGTCAGCCATGTCCCCTCGGCCTCGGCTATGGCGCTGGTAGAAGCGAAGATACACCCAACTGGAGAGGAGTCCAAAGCCATAGGAAGCCAGCGCTGGGCTCTGGAGCAGTGTGGCCAGCCGCAGCAGTAGCAGCAGTGCCAGCAGCAGCATTGGCACTACGCTGACGCGCACCTGGGGCACTCGCAGGACCACACAGTCCCCCATAGTTTGCTTGAGTGCCACCAAGACACCACCTAGGAAGCCCAGAGCGCCGTGGATACGGATTGTGAACAGGTAGACCAAGTTGAAGGAAGCCATATAGGTGAGGAGGTAGGCGAAGGCCCCCAGTAGCCCCACAGACACATTCACCACCGAGAAGAAGATGAGCAGCTCCAAGGCTCCCCAGAGGGGTTCCAGCAAACGCCCAGCCACCACCACTGTGGCCAGGCTGATGGCCACATCCCACACGTGCTGCTCCATGAGCCCATGGGTGGCCAGAGTCCAAATCCAGAAGTTGGGAGGAAAGAGGTAGCCTGGGGTGACCGCCAGGCAGCCCGTATCTACTGCGAAGGAAAGCAGGTAGATGAAAAG